CCCATTATGGATCAGCATCTACTTATAAGAGAGGACATTTGGCCTTTGGATTTTTGGGATTGACTTACTTCCCTTAGCATGATATTCTTCAACTCATTCCATTTATTCTCTTTTAATGCTGAGTAATATTCCATTGTGTAAATATACCACAGTTTTTTATCCATTCATCTGTAGAAGGGCATTTAAGTTGCTTCCACAGGTTAGCTATTGTGAACTGAGCTGCTATTAACATTGATGTGGCTGCGTTAGTATATTATGCTGATTTTAAGTTCATTAAGGGCAGACCAAGGAGTGGGAGAGGTGGGTCAAATGGTAGTTTCATTCCAAGTTTTCTAAAGAATCTCTACACTGCTTTCCATATTGGCTACACCCATTACAGTCCCACCAGAAGTGTATGAGTGAGTGTGCCTTTCTCCCCATATCCTTGCCAACATTTATTGTTGTCTGCATTCCTAATAGCTGCCATTCTGACTGGAGTTTTGATTTGCATTTCTCTATTTACTAGAGATGCTGAAAATTTTTCATATATTTATTTATTGATTGTATATTTTTTCCTGAGAAGTGTCTGTTCAATTCCTTAGCCCATTTATTGATTGGGTTATTTGTTTGTTTGGTGTTAAGTTTTTTGAGATCTTTATATATTCTGGATATTAGTGCTCTATCTGATGTGTGAGAGAAAAATTTGCTTCCAAGATGTAGAGACTCTGTTTAATGCACATATTCTTTCTTTTGCTGAAAAGAAACTTTTTAGTTTGAATCCATCCCATTTATTGATTCTCGGTTTTAATTCTTACACTATAGGAGTCTTATTAAGAAAGTTGGGGTCTAATCCCACATGATGGAGACTAGGGCCAACTTTTTCTTCTATTATATGCAGGGTCTCTAGTTTTATTCCTAATTCCTTGATCCATTTTGAGTTGAGTTTTGTGCATGGTGAGAGACAGAGGTTTAATTTTACTTTGTTTCATATGGATTTCTAGTTTTCCAGCACCATTTGTTGAAGAGGCTATCTTTTCTCCAATGCATGTTTTTGGCACCTTTGTCTAATATAAGAGAATTGTAATTTTGTGGGTTAGTATCTCTGTCCTCTGTTCTGTACATTGGTCTACCAATCTGTTTTGGTGTCAATACCATGCTCTATTTGTTACTATTGCTCTGTAGTATAGGTTAAGGTCTGGTATAGTGATGCCACATGCTTCACTCTTCCTGCTAACGATTGCTTTAGCTATTCTGGGTCTCTTATTTTTCCAGATGATTTTTATGATTGCTTTTTCTATTTCTATGAGGAATATCATTGGGACTTTGATCAGAATTGCATTAAATCTGTATAATGCTTTGGTAGTTTGTTTATTTTGATAATATCAATGCTGCCTATCCAAGAGCAAGGTAGATCTTTCTAAAGTCTTCTTTTTTTCTATCTTTAGGGTTCTATAGTTTTCATTTTTAGATTATTCACTTCTTTTGTTAAGTTGATTCCCAAATATTTATTTATTTGTTTGTTTGTTTGTTTTTGTTTACTTGAGGCTATTGTAAATGGGGTATTTTTCTCATTTCCCTCTCAGTGTATTTGTCACTCATATACAGAAATGCCTTTGACTTATGGGTGTTGATTTTATATCTGGCTTCTTTGCTGAATTTATTTACTAGTTATAGAAGATTTCAAATGGAGATTTGAGGTTTTCTAGTTATAGAATCATATCATCAGCAAATAGTGCTCATTTAAGTTCTTCTTTTCCTATCCATATCCCTTTAATTTCTTTCATCTGTCTCATTGCTCTGGCCAGTGTTTCAAGAACTATGTTAAATAAAAGTGGTGAAAGAGGGCATCCCTGTCTTGTTCAAGTTTTTAGAGGAATGCCTTCAATTTTTCTCCATTTAGGATGATGTTGGCCTGGGGCTTAGCATAGATAGCCTTTATGATGTTGAGATAAGTTCCTGTTATCCCTAGTTTTTATAGTGTTTTGAACATGAAGGGGTGCTGTATTTTGTCAAATGCTTTTGCTGCATCTATTGAGATGATCATATGAGTCTTATCTTTAAGTCTACTCATGTGGTGAATTACATTTATTGATTTCCATATATTGAATAAACCTTACATCCATGGGATAAATCCTACTTGATTTTGGTGCACAATCTTTTTGATATGTTTTCGTATTTGATTTTCCAGAATTTTATTGAGAATTTTTGCATCTATGTTCATTAGAGATATTGGTCTGAAGTTTTCTTTTTTTGATGTGTCTCTGGTTTTGGAATCAGGGTAATATTGGCTTCATATGATGAGTTTTGAAGTGCTGCCTCTTTTTCTGTTTCCTAAAATAAATTGAAGAGTATTGGTATTAGTTGTTATTTAAAGGTCTTATAAAACTTGGCTGTGTATCCATCCAGTCCTGGGCTTTTCTTGGTTGGTAGGTTTCTGATGACATCTTCTATTTCACCACTTGATATTGGTGTATTTAAATTGTGTATATTTTCTTGATTCAATATGGGGAAATTGTATGATTTAATAAATTTATTGATGGCTTCAATATCTTCTATTTTATTGGAGTATAAGTTTTCAAAATAATTTCTAACTATATGCTGTATTTCTGTAGTGTCTATTGTGATGTTTCCTTTTTCATCACATATACTGATAATTTGAGTTTTCTCTCTCCTTCTCTTCATTAGCATGGCTAAGAGTTTGTCAATTATATTTATTTTTTCAAAGAAGCAACGTTTTGTTTTGTCAATTTTTTAAAATTGCTTCTTTAGTTTCGATTTCATTGATTTCAGCTCTGTTTGAATTATTTTCTGTCCTCTATGGCTTTTGCTGTTGATTTGTTCTTCTTTTTCTAGGGCTATGAGATGAAATATGAGGTCATTTATTTCTTGACATTTTCTTCTTTTAAGAAATGAAATTCATGAGCTTTCCTCTTAGTACTGCTTTCATAGTGTCCCAGAGATTTTGATATGTTGTATCTATGTTCCCATTTACCTCCAAGAAATTTTTAATCTCCTCCTTGATGTCTTCTGCAACCCATTGTTCATTCAGTAGCATATGGTTTAGCTATAGGTGTTGGAGTTGTTTTTTATCATTTATTTTTTTCATTGATTTCCAATTGCATTGCATTATGATCTGATAGAATGCAGGGTAGTATCTCTACTTTTTTGTATTTGCTTAGAGTTGCTTTGTGGCATAGTATATGGTCTATTTTAGAGAAGGATCCATGTGCTGCTGAGAAGAAAGTGTATCCACTTGATGCAGGTTGAAATATCCTATATACGTCAGTAAAGTCAAAGTTATTAATTGTATTATTGAGATCTTTAGTTTCTTTATTCAAGTTTTGTTTGGAAGATCTATCCAGTGGTGAGACAGGTGTGTTAAAGTCACCCAAGATTATTGTGTTGTGGTCAATTTGACTCTTGAAGTTGAGAAGAATTTGTTTGATGACCACAGCTGCTTCATTGTTTGAGGCACATATATTTATGATTGTTATGTCTTATTGGTGTATGGTTACCTTGAGCAGTATGTAGTGTCCATCTTTATCCCTTTTTATTAACTTTGGCTTATGTCTCCTTTATGTGATACGAGGATAGAAACACCTGCTTCTTCCGCAGTCCATGTGAATGGTATGATTTTTCCCAACGTTTCACCTTTAGTCTGTGTTTGTCTTTTCCTATCACATGAGTCTCCTGGAGGCAGCATATTGTTGGGTCTTTTTTTTTAATCCAGTCTGCTAATCTAAGTCTTTTGATTGGTGAGTTCAATCTGTTAAATTTCAGGGTTATTATGGAAACATGGTTTGTATTCCTAGCCATATTTGTATATTTTTGTTATTTAACTTGACTTGATTTTTTCTTTGTTTATATTTTCCTTTAGAGTACTACCTCCCTCTGCTGATTTTCATTGTTGTTTTCCATTTTATCTTCATGGAATATTTTGCCAACGATATTTGTAGTGCCAGTTTCTAGCTATAAATTCTTTTAACTTTTGTTTATTGTGGAAGGTTTTCATTTCATCATCAAATCTAAAGATTAATTTTGCTGGATACAAGATTCTTGGTTGGCACCCATTTTCTTTCAGAGCTTGTTATATGTTCTTCAAAGATTTTCTAGCTTTCATGGTCTGTGTTGAAAAATCTGCCATTATCCTAATTTGTTTTTCCCTATATGTAATCTGATTCCTTTCTCTCATAGCTTTTAAAATTCTCTCTTATTCTGTATGTTGGGTATTTTTATTATAATATGACTTGTTGTGGATCTGTTGTGATTATGTGCATTTGGTGTCTGGTAGGATTCTTGAATTTGGATTTCCAATTCATTCTTTATGTTTGAAAAGTTTTCTGATATTATTTTATTGAATAAGTGGTTCATTCCTTTGGTTTGGAACTCCATGCCTTTATCTATCTGCATAAATCTTTAATTTGGTCTTTTTATGCTAGCCCATATTTCTTGAATGTTCTGTTCATTGTTTCTTACCTTTATCATGGTATAATCTATGTTCTTTTCAAGATTGTATGTTTTGTCTTCATTGTGTAATGTTCTATCTTCCAAGTGATCTACCCTGTTAGTGATGCTTTAATTTGAGCTTTTAATTTGGTTTATTTTTCCTTCATTTCAAGGATTTCTGATTTTTTTTAGAACTTCTATTTCCCAGTTGAGGTGATTTTTTGCTTCCTTTTATTTATTTATGTAGCTCCTTGTCAAGGTGATCTTTCACTGCCTATATTTGCTCTCTTATATGTTCTCTGAGTTCACAAACATTTTAACCATGTCCATCCTAAACGCCTTCTCTGCCTTTTCTTCTGCTGTGTCTGCCAATGATTCTAATAATGTGGTGTCTTGATTTCTTTGGGGCACTTTCTTCCCTTGTCTTTTCATGTTGCTTGTGTGTCTTCCCTTCCAGCTCTGTGTGTCCAGAGTGTTATTGTTTTTACCTTATAGGTTTGCAGTGCTCTTGTAGGGTTCCAAGACCTCTTCTTTGTTGGGAAAGACAATGTTAACAGATTCCAATATCAACAATATACCACCTATAAACAATTTGTTGTTATTAAGATGTTTACAGTTTGGTCTCAATGTACAGAAATGTCAGATTCAATTATTATATATAATAAATACAGTAATTTGTAGAAGGGTTTACAGTTTCTGATGGAGGACAATGAACTTGGGGTTAGGCATAGGATGATATGCTGAGGAGGTAGTTTGTGAGGATATAGAGTTAATATATCTTAGAAAGTGTGAAAGAGAAATCTAATGAAGACGGTTAGTAGCAATAGAATAGACAGGAAGTAATTCAGGGTAGAAAAGTACATGAGATGACAGTAGAGTACATAAAACAAACACACATATGTATTTAGAAAAATACAGGATGTTAAAATAGTAAAATTCAGCAGGGGAAATAAAAATCAAGAAGAAGAAGGAGGAGGAGGAGGAGGAGGAAAGGGGGCATATACAACACTTCTATATTATATTATTCAGATGGCCAAGTTCTCAAAATCCTATTTCATGGAAAGTTCTTGTTTTCAAATATGTTGAGGATATGAGGGTGAGAGGATAGAGGTTAGAAGAAAAAGAGGAAAAAAATACTTGAAAGAAGAAACCAGGATTGTCACTAGTTTTAGAGATCTTTCCTGCTTCTCTTGTCATCCAATAGGTGAGGTTGTCTGTTGTAAACTGGTGTCTCTGCCTTCAGGGTGGTGGATGTAACCAGGGCGTGAAGGCTGGTCCTAGTGCAGGGTGACTGGAAGCAGGGAGTGGCAACCACCAGTCCCTGCAGGGAGACTGCACCTCATGGGTCCCTTTGTGGGACTACTCAGATGACTTCAGCACCCGGTACTGTCTCCCTCTCTTGCCTGGAGATTTCCCAGTTCCTGATTTCTCTGTTAGGCTCCAAACTTTAGCCCTGTCTCTCTCTCCCTTAGCAGTTCCCAATCAAGGAACCTCTCACATTGGAGCTCCCATGGGCGGCGCCCTGGTTGCACTGTGCACCTGTGTTGGGCAGCTATTTTGTTGGTTACCACAACTGAGGAGGGGGGAAGTTGAAAACCTGGTACCTGGCCACTGGGAGCCTCCCCCACCTATTATGGTGAGAATATTGAGCCAAGATGGAGGCAGTCTGTTTCCAGTACAGGGATGTCTGGTGGGTTGGGGCAAGCTGGGCAATGGCTTGTGCTGTGGGTAGGTAGCACCTGAGTGACCTGTGTGGGAGTAGAGCAAAGTCTTGGAGATCAGCAGATGTGTTGATGTGTGATTCTGCTAAGGCGCTCAAGCCCTGTGTTGGCTAGAACTTCAGACTTTGGGTGTGGGGAGCCAGGAGTCCTGCTTGAATGCAGTGGTCACAGCGCTGGTGATTTCTGAGGAGAGCTTAGGGGTCTTGTAACACTCTCAGAGATGCAGTATTCTGACTAGGTGAGATCTGGATTACAGAGCAACATAGAATGCTGCCTCCCTCTGACCCACCATCTTCCTCCTCTTCTGCTTTTCCATTTTTCAGACTGCTCTATTTCTAGTCTTCAGATAAGAGTTAGCTGGGCCATGGACCTGCTCCTCTTGGCTGTGGGCTGCTACCCTCAAGGGCCAGGTCCTGGAAGCAGGGAGGGGCCCACCAAGGAGCCTGGGGCTGGATATGGGATTGGAGATGAAGCTCTGGGTGAAGTTGTTGGGCAGCCTCTGACCCCTGGCCTGTGAGGGAGGCTTTTCAAGATCATTATTTTTCATGGTCAGTATGGAGATGGCTTCCCAGATTTTCAGTTTGGAAGGTGACTTTTACAATCCTGCTATTCATGGAGAGCAATGACTGCCTTTATCCTGGATAATACTGATGCTCATAAATGCTAAGGTAGAAAATCATTCAGGTGGAGAAAAACCTTTTTTTTCTGATTATAAGGCATAAGACACTTAGGTAAAGAGGACTGAGAATATTTTTCTTATGAAACCAGAATGAGTTTCTTTTGAGGAGCTCAACAAGGCTGGAGAGGAGGGCTTGGCAGGCAAAAAAAAAAATGACTCTTGAGAGTGAGGACTTTGGGTTTCGATGGCCAAGCCCAAGGCAAAGAGGAGGGTCATCCTGATGTGTTTCGATGGGACTTGCTAGTCCCATTCTGGGGAGGGGTCATGAGTTGCAGCCCAGAGGCAGGTCCCAGGGCCCTGCTCAAGACTGTGAGTGCGGACTCAGCCATTGGGCATAAAGGGCTGGGCAGAGGAGCGTCAGGGGCCTGTGGGCTCGTGGGTGTCCTGGGAGGAGGCATTTGGAACAGCATCTATAAAGGCATTTCTGAAGCTCCTTTCCTCAGGCTGAACATCACAGTGCAGTAAGAAGGTGGCAGAAACTGAGAGTCCCAGGCAGCAGGAATGATGAAGGATCTGTGGGAAACATGTCCACATTCAGTTATCTGCTCACCATTGATGAGAGTATCCTGATATCAATCATATTCTCATGTGACTGTCCAGGGACACCTGTTTGAGTAAACCAACAGCCCCAAGACAGGACTCTTAGCTCAGCCTCTTCTGTTTACTAACTCCCCTTCCCTTTTCCTACAATGAAAGTCAAGAGAGTGGCCCTGAGAGCAATTCATCTTTCTAGATGAATTCTCAACATTGCTCCACATGGTAGAACCTTCCTGTCCATGGAGGCCCAGCAGTTGACTATTGGACTAGTCGAGGGGTGGTCTCCAAGGGCCACACCAAATCTCCTGACCCTCATTGCACCATTTCAGCTCATCCTCTCTGGAGCCCTTAGGACTCAGTGGACATCCACTGCCAACCCTTCACCTCCTCATCTCCTGCACACCTCACACACATCCTGGGAGCTGGGAACCCCACAGAAGTTGCCTGAGATCCTGAAGGTGCTGAGGGATGTGTGCCTGGTTCTCTAGACCCACTGACTCTGCAGCTGTGCACAGGAGGGTGGCACTCCCCCTGGCCCTGCCCCCTCGGCAGCAGCCTTTGCTCCATCCTCCCTCCTGGGGACTTACAGTCAGGACTTCTGCTTCCTGTGGACATAGATGGCAGAGACACTAACTCCTAGAAGGATCTTGGGGCCAAGGAAGAGGGCTATGAGGTATGAAGAAGCAAATGTAGACATCACTGCTCCTGAAAACCAAGGGACAAGGGGAGACATTAGAAGGACTCCTACATGTATACTCCTAGAAGCCTGCACTTGTCCTAGGTCAGATTACCTGGGCCCAACAAAATTGTGAAGCTTGAGCTCACACACACCCTGTCCTGGCTGCCCTGGTCAAGCCTGAGGCAGAAACCTGGTCAAGAGGCTCCTTATTCCCATCCACCCAGCCTCAGGTCCCAGAGTGCCCTCCTTGAGGGAAGGTGAAAACATGAGCTCCATGCACACGGCCCACCTGCCATGGAGATTCCTACTTGACCCTCACCATCTCATGGAGAGCCATCACCATCTCCTCCTGTTATGGAGACTGAGGCCTGGGGGGCTTAGGGAGAGTCATGGCTTAGAGGACTCCAAACCCAGAGAAGCTCCTCCCTGGAGTCCTATAGGGTGACACCTAAGATCATGTTTTTTGTACTAAAACAATGTCCAGTGTCTTCATGCCAAGAAAACTATTTTCAATGAGGCGTGCATATAGGGTGAGGACCATTTCATGGTGCCAGAGGAGAGCAAGGCTGCCTGCTCAGTATCATGGGTGTGTGAATGACCCTGTGTCTCAGGACCTTGGGGAGACTGATAAGGAGGTGCAAGATGAATTAGTAAAATTGCTGGCTGAAAAACACTTTTGTGAGTCAAGAAAATGTTTCTCCTATGTGGGAGTGACCAAAATATCCAAAGACCAGACCACCCCTGCAGTGCTGTGTTACCTGAAGTCCTTCTATTGGACACACAAAGCCAAATCCTGGCAACCAGACCTGGGGAGACGTTTTCTTTGTCACCATGGGCCACTTTTACTCTTAAAATAATGGTAGCAACGATGGAAAATTTTTATGTAAATAAAGAAATGCTGCCAGGTCCATAGGAAGGAGTGGACACTGCTACCCTGCTGGGGGCCATGGTTCTCAGCTGAGTGCTGCTCTGGGACTCCCCCTCAGTGGAGGAGAGCTGCACTGCCTGCCCCCTCCTCCCTCTAGAAGGCACTGCATCAGAGCCTGCCTGAGCAGGGAGTGGAAGGCCCCGCCCCTCTCCTCCAGTGAGAGCAGCTCTGGGGCTCCTCTGGCTTCTGTGGGGGCAGCTGAGATGCTGCTTCTTCTCTCCTCAGGTGGGAGGGACCCTGATGTGTGTGCTGAGAACATTCCAGGAAGCTCCTTGATCCCCTGTGTCCATCACAGAGGGCACTTCCTATGGAAAGCCAGCTCCAGGAGAGGTCTGGGAATCAGACTCTACCCTGTGAGTATGAACCTGGGACTCATCAGCTGGCTGGTAACATGGCCCCAGTGCTGGAGGTCAGTGACACCTGGGCAGGCACTGGCCTGTGTTGAGGTGCCCTTGTTCACTCTTTCACCAGAAATAAAGTGGTTTAACCTCAAGAAGGGAGTTCTCTTGGCATCTGGTGCTTGAACATAAGTTAGGAAATGGTTGGTATTAGGCTCCAGCATTGGAGGGCTATTTCTGGGCATCAGTCCCTCTGGGGAATGACAATGAGAAGCTAAACGTGAGAAGCTAAAGCTGACCACAGTCACAGCAGGATGGCTGCCAATTAACTCTGCTGCAAAGACATCCAGTGCCATCTTCTGCGTCCCATCCCAACAAAAATGCTTCTCCTGCATCATGTAATCCTCGCTGCCTCCCAGAAAGGAGAAGTGCTGTGGTTCCAGAGAGAATCTGGGATGCCCACAGGCACACGTCCCATGGGCTGGCCCTCAGGATGCAGTTTTCATGCTGGTGTCAGAGGAAACTGGGAGAGTCTTAGATCAATAACTGAAGCCTCCTCCCACAGAAGCAATAAAAGAAGATCCATATGAACCCCAAGCAGGCAGAATAAGGGAAATAATAAAGAAGAGAAAAGAGTCATAATTCAATAAAATGGAATATATGGAAGTAATAGAGAAGATAATTGAAACACAAAGTTGATCCCTTTAAAAGATCAATAAAATTGAAAATTCTCTTGCACTGATGATAATGATGACGGTGATGATGATGATGATAAGAGAGAGAGAGAAAGGACACACTGGTAACATTAAGATTCAACAGGATGCAGGGCATATTAGGAGAGATTCTGCAAACATTAGACTGATATTTAAGGACATATTAGGTGCAAATCTGCAGTTATGAAGTTGACACAATACATAAAATAGACTAAAACTGCTTCAAGAAGCTCAACCTACCCCAATACACTCAAAATGAAATCTAGCATGTAAATAGTCCTAAACTTCTAAGGAATTACATCATTTTTAAAATTTGGAAAAAGGCTTCCTGATGCCCTGGTGGTTTCCTAAGGAGATTGTACCATGCACTTAAAAATGAATTAAAACCAATTTTGGTGTAGAGAAAAGACCTACAAAACAATTTTTTAAAAATTTAAATACATACTCCAATTATTTTTAACAATTAGAGAAGTTATCATTATTTTTATTAACTGGGACAAAGCTGTTGGATTTGTAGAAGAATGTCCTTCATCATTCGACCATTCCAGCTGTGGACTCCACTGGCACTGATATGCATTTCTGGCAAAGTGATTAGTGGATGGGATTAGGTAGCCTCCATGTATCTCCTACCATAAAGGAAATTGTCTCTCACTTCCAATCATTACTCTTCCTACAAGAAGGGACAGGGATAAATCAGTGGCTCAGTGTTGACCCAGCACATGAGGCCCATGGTAGGGCATGCTGGAAGGAACCTGGACCTTGAAAGACTCTTTCAGAGATACCAGACCTGCTCCTGTGGTTGAACAGGGAAATCATGCACATTGGGCTACAGTATGGGGTCTACAGACCACTGTGGGTCTTTGGGACAATATTCATGGGAGAGGAAACATTTTGTTAATTGGCAAAAATGTTCTCTATAGCTGGTGTTGGCCCTGACCACAGTGACTTTAGATTTGCCTAGAGTGGTTTAGATAGTTTCCACAAGTCAGGGCAGGAAGCCATCAGCAACACTCCCACTACTCTCCAGGGCTGTCCTAGTTTCCCTTTCTGTAAACTCCTAACACACAGGTAGTTGGAGCATCAAAGGAGAATATACACAAGCAGAAATTTACATGTTGTGGTGAGGTTTTGAGAGTCATCATTACAGTAGGTCTATTATCACAAATCAGGAGGAAATTAAGACCCCTGTGGAGACCACTCAAGGTCACCTAGGGGCCTGGTTCAAACAGTCTCCACCTCCTCAGGGAGTCCTTTCCAGATTTCACCTGGTAGAAACCAGCATTTGTTGAGTGAGGCTACAAATGTGTAGGAAAATTCCAATATTGAATGAAGGCTGCAAAGACTCTGAGGAAAAAGAACAAAGCAACTGATAGGTGGATAGACAAAAGGCAGGACAGTCCCCCTCCCTCTCTTTCTTCTTTAATGTCTGTTTATGTCAGAAGATCCATGGAGAGGTGGACCAAGCTCTTGACATTGGAGACTCTAGAGGTAAGGAGTGGGGAATTGCAGGTGAATGTAAGGTTATAATACATACTTATAGACTTGCGAATTATTCTGTAATGGATAGGAATACTTAATTTAGGAATAAAAAAATTAAAACAAAAAGATACAAGATAGAAAAACCCTAGTCACCTCGAGTGGAGACCCCCCCCCCCCAGGGAGATATGTTTTTCATTTTGGTTCTGGAGATTGAACCCAGTGGTGCTGATCCACACAACTGCACCTCAAGCCGTTTTTAATATTTCTTTAGAGACAGGGCCTCGAGGAGTTGATCATGGCCTCACTAAGTTGCAGGTGCTGACCTGGAATTTGCCTTCTTCTTGCCTCAGCCTTCTGAGCTGCTCGGATTAGACACTGACCCTCGCCAGGGAGGTGTCTGTACCCTGCTCCTTCTGGGTGGTGAAGATATTGAGCCTATGGTTTCTGGAGGTGGCTGTCTGCGTTACATGTACCACCTGGCAGGTGACCACCACGTCCCCACTCTGCACACAGGAGTTCACCAGGAGCCCACTAATGTGGTTACAGGTCACATCCTTATTCTCTGACGACTGAGGCAGTTTCCATCTTGGACATGTTTTCCTTCTCCAGTCAGGTCACTTGAAGCTCAGGAGGTAGAAATACTTTTCCCAGCAGGTGATAGTTACCTGGTTCCATCACTGTGTGTTTTGGGGGGACCCTCAATGTGGGTGGAAAGAGAGAAACAGAGAGAGGACCATGAGGATGTGATGAATGTCAGGTGAAAAAGGCAAGTGACGGCTGCCAGGACAGGCCCATCTCCCCTTCCTTCCTCCTTAGTGTCCCTGTTTGAAGGCCCCATGAGATGTGGCCCAACCCAACAGAGGAGACCCTCAGAGTGTGGGTGTGGGGAGCTGACTAAGACGCTGCTGTTCCCAGGCTCTGGGTGCCCTGGGGGAAGGAGGGGTCACTGCTCTCACATCACAACACACAGAGTCAAGATGAAGTAGAAAAGCATTTGGTCAGGTGGAATGGAGGCCTCACCAGGGGTGTTGTCCAGGCCTTGCTCCCTAGGGCCAGCAGAGAACTTCAGGGTGTATTTCCTGGTGGTGGCTGGCTGCCCATCATGCTCCACTCGGCAGGTGAACGTCACGTCCTCCCTGTGCACAGAGGAGTTGACCATCAGCCAGCTCATCAGGTTGAAGGTCCCGTCCTTGTTCTCTGACTGGGTCGAGCCTGTTTCTGTCCTGGACACATTTCCATTCTCCACCCAGGTCAGCTGTAGGCTCCGGGGGTAGAAGTGCTTCACCTGGCAGGTGACGTTCACCTGGTTCCCTGCCATGGTGGGCTGTGAGGAGACCTCCAAGGTGGGCGGAACTGAAACAGCACAGGGAGAAGCTGTGACCTTATGGCACAGATGCTGAGCTCCTCCCAGCAGGGCAGGGGCCTCCCTCGGGACAGGGCCAGGCATGCAGAGGGGCTCAGACACTGGGGGTTTGCACAGGAGTGAATCACTAACCACAGGGCCTGCCACCCACAGGTGCCAAGTGACCAGCAGCTCCCCTGAGGGTAAGTGAGTGAGGCTGACAGGCTGCCTGCAGGAAGTGAGCAAATAGATGAAACCTCCCTGCACGTCAAGGCTCGGCTCTGGGAGGAGCTCAGCAGTGGTAGTTGCTAATGTTCAATGAAATGAAGCCACCAGCACATGCTGGCCACAGGTCAGGAGTCCACACTAGCACAGCAGGTGGCAGCACTGCTGGGAATTAGAGCCAGAGCCACTGAGGTCCTGGCCAAGGCCCCTGGGGAGCAGCAGGCTGGGTGGCAAGTGTGGGCTGAGGTGGGGATCAGGATCCTGTACCTCGGATGGTGTCAGACAAGTTGGCAGTCCCACGAAGAGGGCTCCCCTGTAGGGTGATGTGGGCCACTTCACAGATGACCTTAGAGTGGATGTCTCCAGGGGCCAGGGTCACCTGGGCTGTGCTGGACACGCTGTAGGACACACTTTCTCCCGTGGGGTGCACGCTGGTCTGGGTATGAGAAAGCTCATTCCCATTTTTGAACCACTTGAGGGTGATGTTCCGGGGAGAGAAGCCATGGGACTGGCAGGTGAAGCTCACCATCTGCCCAGGTGTGGCCCTGGTCACAGGACCTGACATCATGGGGGTAGAAGGTCTGGCTGTGAAGGGGATTGACAGACAAGTGAGGTGATTGGGAGACCCCTTCTGACCACTGCGAGTGACACTGTTTAGAATCGTCCCCGACATTATTGTTGGTGTTATTTTTATTGTTGCTGTGCTAGGAATGGGCCCCAGGTGCATGCTGAGCATATGCTCTGTCACTGAGCTACACCCAAAATGTCAAGACATGATTTTTTAATGCTCCTAATAAAGCACTCTGGGTGCTGAGCTGATCCCTGTATGGTGTCCCTACCCTCATGTCCCTGGGCAGTGAGGAATGTCAGCCCAGGAGCTGCTCCAGCCCTGAGGTCAGAGCCTTCCTCTCAGCACCAGGACACTGCTACCAACCTGGGCCCAGGGAGGACCTCACAGCCCTGTCTCAATCTTTGTTAGTAACCTTTTCCTGCTGGCCTGCCTGACGCTTGACACCAAGGGTAGCCTTATTTAGAAACAAATGCAGGGGACAGATAGTATCAGGGCACCAACGTGAACATAGAAGCCAGCTCTCCATGCTGAGACCTGGCCCAGCACCTCATCTGTGGAGTGGGGTGGTTGGCAAATCTCCTCCCAGGCCACACTAAACACTGTTGTCTTTGGATCACACAGAGCTGCCCCTGGAATCTCAGCAAATGATCAGGCTTGTTTTCCAGAGCCTGGGGAGGCTGAGGCTGGAGGATTGCAATTTAAGATCAGACTGGGAAACATATGAGAACCTTCCTCAAAATAAAAAATAAAAAGGGCTGAGGATGTAGCTCAGTCTTAAAGTACCCCTGGTTTCAATCCTTTTCAAAGCAAAAACAAAACAAAACAAAACAAAATAAAAGCACAGGTCCCTCCTTCTCCAAGACATTGTTCTGTGCAGGGCTCATCAACTCAACCCACTTGTTCCTCTTTCCACAAACATGCCATGGGCCTCACCTGGGCCAAGACCTGGATGTGAGAGGGAGAGGATGAAGGGGTGCTTTCTGAATGTGGGCTTCCCTGGGTCACTTGGCATTGGAGTCACAGGTCACTGAACAGGGATGAGTTCATAACTGATGGCTAATTACAAGACATGCAGACCCAGGCCCCTGAGCAGGTCCTGAGGGCACTCAGGTGAGAGCATCAGGAGGCTGCTTGCCTGTGGAGGGGTCCTCAGATGGGCCCTTTGGTGTCTCCAGATTGTTCATCACTAGCCAGAACTTTCTATAGCTGTCGACAGGCAGCAAATATCTTGAAGGTTTGTATCTGAAAATACTGATCTCCCTGCCTGACATGCACCCAACACTCAGAGGGCACAATATGCATGGTGTCACTGAAGAAGTGGAGTCACCCAGATAACAGCAGCCTGGAAGTCCCTACAGGGGTTAGGGACTCTGTAGCCACTTATCAGGAGCTGCTCAGAGGCCTTCATATCTTGATAACCTCAAAATAAGGTTTTGTGAGGAGGTGCTAGTGAGAGCCCATTATGGGATAAGGCTCAGAGAGGGGCGTGGCCAGCCAAGGGCACCAGGCTGGGGGAGAGGGAAGAGACCAGACTACTATAGTCCACACAGAGGATAATGCAACACTTTTTTTTTCTGCTGAGGTTCTGTATCCCCTTCTGCAGAACTCAGTGCCTGGTCCAGACTTATACTCCTTATCAACGATCGATTTTTGGAATTTCACACAGTAGTAGGTGCCAGCGTCTGCTGGTGTGAGGGTTCTTAAAAGCACCACCCTGCAAGAGGAGCGAGAAGGCAAGGCACAGTGCTAGCATGCAGTAGGAGCCTAAGAAATGACACCTGTGTCTGTGTCATCACTCTTTCTGGAACCACACATTCAGTAGACAGAAGGAGCAACAAATGCAGTGGGGACCCCAGGAAAACCTCCATCCTGTTCCTGCAGCCCCCAGGAGAACCTGCGTGAGAGGAGGAGCAGACACCACAGGACAGACACCATTTTGGGACATCAAGGCAGAGAGCTCTGTGTGCTGAAGAGCCAGGGCTTCCTAGCTCCAGCTCCTGTTCAGAGGCACGTGTGTCAGATGTAGGCTCTGGGGTGACCCAGGATCTAGGCAGGCTCCATTGGGAGACCCTGCCACAGGCCCCAGGGAGCTGAGCCCAGCACTTGCTGTTCAGCAGCATCCACACCCGAGAAGGCTCCCGTGCTCTCCTTCATTGCCAGAGGAAAGAACCCCAGCTTTCCTTCCGTGTCTTCAGGACATCTACCTCAGGAGTCGACAGCCCTGGCCATGTGTCAGAAACTTCTGGAGTAAGTGGAAACTTCAGAAGCCCAGACCCTCCTCAGACCTTTTAAAGCAACATTTGTAGGTGAAGCCTGGGTCTGGGAGTTTTTGTGTTCAGGTTCCCCCATGGATCCTATGCACAGCCAGTGGGGAGCCCCCGACCCCACCCACCATGACAACAAGAGCATCAATAACATCTCCCCAGGAAGAAATCTTTTGCCCTTGTTCAAATAAGGGAGCAGCTCTGTGTGTCCTACTGGGGCATCTCCCTATGGAGGGGGATGTGGCTGACACTCAGGAGAGGATCTCCACTCACTGTGGCTTCAGGGTGTGAATGTCAGTGGCACCTGAACCTTGGGAGATAGATGAGGACCAGAGATGCTGCTCGCTGCCCAGTGGGTCAGGTCAGGGTCTGTATTGAGCCCCTCCTGTGCCCTGGCTCCTCTGTGGGGACAGTGTCTATTCCCAGGGCAGCAGGAGCCTGGGCTGGAGTCAGGTCTGGGCTCTGTCCCCTCCTGGCATTAATATGCTGTGTGAGAGAGGGCTGCCTGGGCCTCCAGCTCCCCAGGTCAACAGGGGTGGGCACAGGTGTGAAGGTCCACGTGTGCTGACCACCTCAGCCTCATGGCTTAGGGAGAGCATGCAGAGCTTCTTGTAGGAACCACACAGTGAGCACCTGTGCTTCCTGAACTAGGAACCCCTTTGTCACCTACATGGAGAACACTCTCTGGGTGAGTGACCCAGCTCTGCTCCTGCCCTGCAGGCCCTGTGAGGGCTGGTCCCTGAGACACAGGGATGTCCAGGCAGACCCAGGGCAAAGGCCCTACCTCTTGGCAGCTCCTCCACCAGGGCCCCAGGTCTACAGGGAACCTGAGCCTATCAGAATCCTCTCAGGTGCTGTTCCAGGGGAGGAAGGAAGGAAAGCATGCCCTGCCCCCTCCCTGCTCTGGAGGCCTGGTCCTCAGGGAGGGACAGGAACAGTAGCCTGTGGGAGAAGAACGTTAGCCTGCACTGCTCCCAGCTCTTTCCAGAGCATCCAGAGTGCAGATTGGCACACAGTGGGTCCTGGGTGCTGGTGGTATAAAGAGGACTCACCCCACAGGGCAGTGCTCTCTGAAGGTGGCACTTGGTCTGGCTCTGTGATTGGCAAGTCCCTCAAACCCTCAGAGCCCTCAGCTGGGGAGCCACAGGGCTGGGCCAGATTGGAAAAGGTCAGGGCTGTGGAGCAGGCAGGTGAGGGGTGCAGATGCCCCCCATTTACCAGCCATGGAGCCTGGACCAAATAGCACGGCCTCCACAGGCCTCTGCCTCCCTGACCTGCAGAAGGGGTGACCGCGGGTCATGACATGAGCACCCAGTGCTGCTCCTGCTTCTCAGCTGTGACCCCCAGGGTGGAGGGCGTGACCTCTGACCTCCTGTCCCACCCCAGGGAGGAGGAGGCAGCTGCACTCACCTCGCACAGACAACTCGGTGCCTGGTCCTGACTTATACTCCTTATCAACAGGGGTCGATTTCTGGAACTTCACACAGTAGTAGGTGCCGGCGTCTGCTGGGGAGACATTACTGATGCGGATGGAAAAGTCCCTGTTGTCCCTCTTTGTGGCATCTGAGAGATTTGTGACTCGGGGGAAGTGGCCTTCTTTGTAGCTGTAGATCAACTCCCGGCCTGGCCCTGCCCCCTTAAACCACTTCTGGGGCCCCACGGGGAGCAGGGAGGTCACAGTGCAGTGCAGAGTGGCCGACTCTCCAGCAGCGACAGACACTGACTTCTCAGGCTGGATCACCTGCAGCTCCTGTGCAGCCGCTCCTGGGGGGAGACACAGGGTGGTCACTGTTCATCCTGGGGATCCTCTTGGTTTATCACATGGTATCAGCAATGCCTGTCACAGACTCAGTGCCCACAGAGTGGCCTTGAACTCAGCACAGGGCATGTGTCCTCACACTGAGCCTCCCCTGGCCTGCACCTCCACACTGTGAGACACCTGCCCCTGAGGCCCAGAGCCCTGAGCAAGGAGGAGGGAGGGGACTTGAGGGCCTTGAGACCTCCCCTGAGCTCTCATGTGTCACCAACTATTTGTTGCCCCCTTTTTCTGACCACAAGGACACTGGCACTTCATGGACCAAGACATTGATCTGGGTCATGTGGCTCTTGAGTCTCCTGAGTATTGGGGAAGTGGTGGGTACAATTAGTGGGACATGCATTTGACTGTGAGTCTTGGCTCAGCTCCGTATTCCACAGAGATGCCAGCTCTTGTTCCAGTTCCCTCCTTCAGCCTGAAGTGATGATAGGACATACAACCATGACCGCGCAGCTCAAGTATGAAAGAAAACAGTGCTGAAGCCCCTCGCATATCTCCCCACAGCACAACCACATGGTACTCTCCCTGGCTGATCCCAATGGCTCCACCACGTCGCACAGCCCTCTGGCCTGCTGGCTGTCCTGTGCCCTGGGTTGTGCAGCTCTCTGTCACTTTTCCAGAGAGAGGAAAATGCTCTCCACCTTACAGTACTTCTCCCATCCCAACCACAAGAATACCCACTGAGATACCAGCTCCTAGCCTTGACCCCAGGTGCAGAATCATCCTATCGTTGGAATCTGGAACACCAGACCCTGTGAATTGGCTCTTTACCAGTGCACTGTGTGGGAATGTGATTTGAGGAAGGACCCCTGATGGAGGGTGTGTAGTTCCATGAGGAGCTGAGTGTCCACTGCTGAGTGCTAGTGTGAGAGTCAAGGGGGCAGAGGGCCACACAACAGCTAGATGAGCCTGTTCACAGTGTCCACCACCTGGTGAGTGGCATTGATGAGAAAGGTAACTGGTTCTCTTGAATCTTGACTTCACGTGGTCCCCCTCCCAAGGACAGTCCTCTGTTACCCTCCACCCCCTAACTGTCCATGCTGCTCTGCGGGCAACCCCTTCTCTGCTGCTTCCTTGATGCGTTGATCTCCACCTCCCACCCCGTCCATGGCTGCCATCAAGGTGATGGGTGGCTCCTGGTACAAGGAGAACAGGGGAAGGAGCAATTTGAGCCCTCTCTCCTTCAGATACCCAAAGATATAATTTGAGGCTATAAATCACCCTGGGCAATGTGCGAGGACTTTGAGGTGACAGGCTAAGAGTCTCTCCCTTTAAATTAAATAGTCTCACAAGGCACAGTGGCACCCAGAGGCTTGGGAGGCTGAGGCAAGAGGATCCCTAGTTCAAAGCCTGCTTCAGCAAAAGTGAGACACTAAGCAACTCAGTGAGTCCTGTCTCTAAATATAATACAAAATAGGGCTGGGGTGTGGCTCAGGATGGAGTGCCCTTGAGTTCAATCTCCAGTAACCACCCTCCACCCAAAAAAAAAAGTTAAATGGTCAAAAATAAAGAATGTATAAGACATAATTGTGTCCACTATTACTCCTCAGGATGACAACCCCTGTCCCTCTGCATTAGTCAGCTTTGAATGGCTGTGATCAAATACCTGACAAGATCAACTAAGGGAGGAAAGACTATTTGGGGCTCACAGTTTTAGAGGCCAGTCTACTCTCAACTGGCTCCATGTGGGACGTCCATGACAGGATGAAAGTCCATGGATGGAAGAAGGAGAAGAAGAAGGGGAAGGGGAGGAGGAGGAGGAGGAGGAGGAGGAGGAGGAGGAGGAGGAGAAAGGCAGTGGTGGTGGGAAGAGCAAGTGGACATGAAGATCCAGGGACAAAAACACAGTCCTCGGGGACATTCCCCAGGGACCTACTTCCTTCAGACAGTCCACACCTGCACAGAGTTCCCACCACATTGTGACTCCATCTCTCTCCTGTCAGAATGGCCATCATCAAGAATCCAAAATATAAATGGTGGTGAGGATGTGGGAAAAGGGGAACTCTCACTGTTAGTGAAAATGTCAATTAGTACACCCACTATGGAAGTCAGTGTGGAGGTTCTTCAAGAAACTGAAAACATAACCAGTGTATGAGGAAATCTAATACTGCTTGGTATCTATCTTAAAGAATTAAAATCAGTATAGAGTAGAGAACTGTCAAGGCACATGCATACAGATTGTCATGGTTTAGACATGAGGAGTCCCTCACCAGCTCATGTGAGACAATGCAAGAAATCAGTTTAGGGTTGAAATGACTGGGTAATGAGAGCCTTAACCTAGGCAGGGTCTTAGTCCCTCATAGGGATTAGCTGAGGGGTGACTGCAAGCAGGTCTGGTGTGGCTAAAGAGGTGGGTCCATGGAGGCCTGCCTGTGGGGTCCATATGTGGTCCTTGTAGGGAGCTCTGTCTCTCTCCCTCTCTGCTTCTTGGTGGCCATGTCCTCACCTGCTTATGCTGCTACAGACTCCTGGTATAATGTTGTGCCTTGACTCTATCCCTGAGGAATGGAGCCTCTATAGGATGAGACCTCTGAAATTGTGAGCCCCTAAGTTAATCATTTCCCTCCAATTATTCATGTCTAGTCTTGGGATCATGGCAAAAAAGATGACTTAGACATCCATGTTTATCACAGCACAACTCACAATAAGCAAGTCATGGAATCACCTCAGTGTCTCTCAAATGATGAAGGCTAAAGAAACTGTGCTACATTTACACAATGGAATTGTATTCAGCCCATTTTATTCAGGAGAAAGAATGTAGCTGGAGATCATCATGTCAAGCAAAATAGGCCAAAGTCAGAGAGACAAGTAATGTTTTCTTCCATATGTGGAAAATAGACAGGGAAAAGAAACAGGGCATCATGAAAGAGAAAGGGGGGAGGGAAACAGGGAGGGGGAAGAGAGGGTGCAGAGAGGTATCAGGGGCATTAGGAGTGAATGTGATCATGTTATGTTATATGAATACGCCACAGGGAAACCCAGTATTTTGTAAAATTCATCTGTGCTCCACACTCCAAAAAAAATAAAATAGTAAAAAAAAGGAACAAAGATTCTTGGCATTTTCCCAGCTGCCTTTCCAGGCAGAGGAGGTGGGGCTCCCCTTTGCAGAGCAATGATGAGGGAAGGTCCAAGCTATGTCAGTGTCATAGCTGCTGGAAAGGTTCACAGCCAACACAGGCTTGAGGATAGTTAGGGAGCAGCCTGGAGTCTCCACACTAGATTTGCACTGGAAAAGAATGTCAAGTCATCTCCCCACCAACCCCTGAGCCCAGGCTGGGGTAGCTTGGTGCCATCTTACAAAGTGAGGTATTCTCTGAATTTGTACTGCTTTGTGGGGATCAAATACCACTGAATATCCCTCACTCTGGTTCCCCATAGTTGATGAATGAGAATGGAATAAAATAAGAAATCAATGATTTTTTTAAAAAAAGCTACTCTAAAACCTGGGGACAAAATATTACACTTTGAGTGACCAATGGATAGTAGGAGAAATAAGGGATGAAATTAAAAAAAAAACACTTGGCGGGGGGGGGGAAGGAAGATGGCGGCGAGGGGAGTGCATTGCCCCCGTGTGCTGCTTCACTGTGTGGGAGTATGACAAGTCAGGACGGCTAAAGGCTATCTTGTTAGGAATTTCCAGCAATAGTGGGGTGCTCCGGAACCTGGAGGAAGGATTTCCATCGCACGAGGATTGGCTACGGGGACTCAAACGCGAGAGGTTTGTCGCACGGAGGGTAACACTGCTTATTCAGCAAATCGCCCCGCGGCTAGAGTCTGCAGCGCGCGCTGGGAAACGAGGAGATAGCGACGCAGGGATACAGCGCTGCAGTTTCTGCCAGCCGTGCAAGCACCGTACTCAGGGCTGAATTCTGGGTTCGAGACGGGGGAAGGAAGCGGTCCATCCCGGTTCTCCACACCGGTCAGACCACAGAGGAGGCCAGCAGCCACCATGTTGGAAAGCTGACGTCACCATCCCTGTTTTCGACTGACCGCAGCTCATTCAGCTATAGAACAGGTAATTTCAGGCTGCAATTCGCCTGCGGCTTGCAGACAGATTGCTAGGGTTCAGTGCCTGGGTGCTTCTTAGAACCTGATCTTATCGGAGCGAACACCGAGTTCGGGGCGGCCGAGTTCCGGCTACCGGAACCGTCCCGGAACCGCCCTGGCCCAGGGCTGCGGAGCCTGCGGAGGCTGCTTCTTGGACCCTGCTCCTATCAGAGCATACACCAAGCACTAAGCGGCCGAATTCCGGCTCCTGGAACTGAGCCCGCGGGGACTGCTTCTTGGAGCCTACACTTATAGGAGCTTACACTGAGCACGGAGCGGCCGAGTTCTGGCTCCCGGAACTTCCCTGGCCCGGGGCTAGGAGCCTGCGGAAACTGCTTCTCGGTCCGGGTCCTGCTGAGGGCCGGTCAGGACTCACCCGTTGCTTTGGTTGCCCGGCAAGGGGAACGAAATGCTGCCATTAGCATAGGATACCAACATGGCAGAGATCTGATGTCATCAGAAAGCGGTGGAGGAGAGAACTTCATCAATACCAGCGGCGACATAAACAGTTGGTCTCCTGGTAGGGGGGGTGAGGCACAGACACCCGAGTCTCCTCAATTTGTCGTCGAGCCAGAGGGGAGGAGCCAGGCCGCCGCCAGCACCCAGAGCAGGCCCAGCGGCTCGCCAGCGTGGTGACCGCATGACCCCAATTGGAGAGGGGGCGGAGCGGAGCCGCCACCCGCACCCGCAAGGTGGGCAGACCCGCGACCCAGTGGTACATGGGCGTGGTAGGAGGGGCAGGGCAGAGCCGCCATTCGCGCTTGCAAGGTAAACAGACCTGTGACAGCCTGGCGGGTCAGGCCCAGTGGCCTGCCAGTGTGGTACACACGTCACCCCAACTGGAATAGGGGCAGAGCAGATCCTTCTCCCACGCCCGGATCAGGCCCTGCCGGTGTGGTGG